TACAGAATGCCTATTAACAGGTTTTTTAATGCCTCAACTATGTATAATTGTAAGGGTAGTTCAATCATTTCCTTTCAAATAATAATTTCAAGAGAAATTGCTGCATCAAATTAATTCAAATAATCTATTTGTGATTATAGATTAAATTATTGTCTCAATTAAATTGTAATAATAATAATAATAATAATAATAATATTTTATAATTATAATATAATATTTAATAATTATAATCTAATAATAATAATAATGAATTAATTAATTCTTCATTAATGTCTCAACTATGTATAATTGTAAGGGTAGTTCAATCATTTTCTTTTATATATAAATAATAATTTCAAGAGAAGTTATTGCATGAAATTAATTCAAATAATCTATTTGATTATAGATTATCGTTTCTGAACAATTCTTAAAGGAATTTTCAACAACTGATTTTTCAGTTCGAGAGAATTACTAGTTAAATACTTACTGTTAATCGAACCTCAACTCATTCTTGTTCCCATGACTGTAAGTTACGGAGGGGTCCGGCGAGGTCCGGGTTAATAATTAAAAACTCGTAAACGGTGTCATCGTCGACTGCCGCCCCGTCGAGAATCGTTCGTCCGTGTGAACCGGAAACGATTCCTCGATGTATCGCGAGGCGACACGTGTCGAGAGGTGCGCGACGACGATCGCCCCGATGAAAAAAATCGTTTCTATCTCACACGTGATCGAATGGTAAGAACACCTGCGGACGCGCGTGTCGACGGTTCGAATGTCGTCCAGGCGGTCTACGTCATTTCAACGGACCCCGACGTCCCGGGAACAAAGATTCTTGGCGAGACGTCCCATCGCGAACGAGGAACGTATCCTAAATGCCGGCTGATTGCGAGACAATGTGGAACACGGCGTGTCCGAATGGAGGGAGAACAGAATCTTCGACGCACTTGCTGATTCGAATAGGTAATTTTTTCGGGAACTACAATGAATAACAAACGTTATTCAAATTATGACCGAGTTTCTTCTCCCCAACAATTCCCTTTATTTCTTCGATATATGTATACATTGATTCGAGCGATTATGGACAGGTTTCACGCTTTTCCTCTTTCCTCCGTGACAGTGAATCCTTAATTGTTTCATTATGCCTTTCATTTTGTAAAGTTTTGTCAATAAGAA